TGTGTGCACATTCTTTCTCCGTTTTTTGTGACTGTTCTTTGGAGAGTCTAAAATGAACACCTAAAGGTGTACTTACTGATTTAGCATCTTGCATGTTGAATCTGGAGAGTACTTTGTTGATGTACTCAGCCTATGATAACATCAAAGTCCCCGACTTTGTGTCTCTATTAGTCCTCATCCTAAGAATCTGCTTTGCAGTACCCAGATCTTTCATTGCAAACTGCTTCGTCGACAATTTTTGCTTTAAGTTTATAATCTCTTGCATGTCTGAACCTGCAACGAGCATGTCATCAACGTACAACAATAAAATAATGAAGCTATTATCAAACTTCTTGATGTAGCAACAATGATCTGCTTGGCATCTGGTAAAACCACTGCTACTCATGAAGCTATCGAACTTTTTGTACCACTGTCTAGGAGCTTGTTTTAAACTATACAAGCTCTTCTTCAACCTGCATACCAGGTTTTTCTTGTCTGCCTTTATGAAGCCTTCTGGCTGCCTCATATAGATTTCTTCCTCTAAATCACCATGAAGGAAAGTTGTCTTCATCTAACTGCTCAAGATATAGTTTCTCTGCAGCTACAATTTTCAACACCAGTCTAATTGTAGACAGTTTCACGATTGGAGAGAAAATCTTATTGTAGTTAATACCTTCTTTTTGTTAAAAACCTTTGACAACCAATCTTGCTTTGTAGCGTTTGCTCCCATCGTGCTCTTCTTTAATACTGTAAATCCACTTGTTATGGAGCGCTTTCTTGCCTGGTGGTAATTCAGCTAATTTCCACGTCTGATGTGACATAAGCGAGGTCATCTAATCTTTCATGTAAGACTCTCACTTGACTGAATCCTCCACCTGTATTGCTTCATCATAGCACTCTGGTTCACCATTGTCAGTGAACAACAAGTAGTGCAAAAAAGACGAATAACGCTGGGTTGTTTTAGGAATTCTAGAGGAGCGTCTTAGTTCCGGTGTGCCAGGTTCTTCTTGAACTGCTTCAGGTCTGATCTGAACATCATTTCCAGAAATCTCCTCGAACTCAGCAAATTCCTTTGTTTCAACTTCGGTATTGGAGCTATTTGATTCTATGGTTGATCTGTCTTTGTACATCACATTCTCATTGAAAATGACATCTCTGCTTCTGATGATATTTCGATTTTTGTAGTTCCAAAACCTGTAACCGAATGCATCACCACTATAACCAACAAAGACACATTTGTTGGACTTGACATCAAGTTTATTTCTTTCAACAGAATTTATGTGTACATAAGAAATACAACCAAACACTCTTAAGTGTGAAAGGTTTATTTCTTTCTTGCTCCAAACTTCCTCTAGTATTCCACCATCCAAGGGAACTGAGGGCCCACAGTTGATCATGTAAACTGCAGTGTTGATAGCTTCAGCCCATAGCAATTTTGGCAAGCCGACTGCCGACGTGTATCCTCATGCTTTTGGCAAGTTCATTCAGAGTTCTGTTCATGCACTCTGCTACGTCATTCTGCTGCGGTGTCATGGAAACTATTATCTCCATCTCGATCTCATTGTTTGCGCAGAAATATATGAATCTACTATTTCTGTACTCTCCTCTATTGTCAGACCTCAATCGCTTGACTTTCAAACCAATCTCATTTTCCACCACGACCTTCCATTTTCTGAAGATATCAAAGACTTCTGATTTCTTCTTCAGAAAATAAACCCACACCTTCCTTGTAGAATCATCGATGAAGGTGATATAATATAATGAGCCTGTAAGAGATGGAACTGGATATGGTCCCCATATATCAGTATGAACCAACTCTAACTTTTGTGCCTTGGGTGTCTTGCCAATCTTTGCAAAACTGACTTTCTTTTGTTTGTCAAAGATATAATCCTCGCATAGTCTGACATTTATATTCTTTAGATCCGACAGCTTCCTTTTAACAAAAGTGTCTTTATCCCTTTCTCGCTCATATGGTCAAGCCTTTGGTGCCATAGATTTGATTTTTCATCAGCATCTTCTATTGCAATGATATTCTCTAAATTTGAGGTTACATAAAGAGTATCAGTCTTCTTACCACGAGCAATGATGAGTGTTCATTTGGTAATATTCCATTCATAGCCTGAAAAGGTTATACAATATCCTTCTCCATCAAGTTGTCCTACAGAAATCAAATTTCTATTGATGCCAGGAATATGTCTCACTCCTTTCAGCTTCTAGGTGGTCTGGTTTAGCATCTTTAATCGAATGTCTCTTTTTCCGACGATTTTCAAGGTTTCATCATTAGCTAGATGAACCTTCCCAAAATCACCACTAACATAGCTCTCTATGATTTTTTGGCATGGGGTGGAGTGGAAAGATGTCCCTGAATCCAAGATCCATGATTCAATCAGACTGTTGAAGCTTAGAATCATGGCATCACCTGTCTCATTTGTCATGTTGGAAGATTCTTGTGCACCAATATATTTCTTCGATGCTCGACAATCTCTTTTAAAGTGACCCTTCTTGCCGCAATTATAACAGTTGAAATCTTTCTTTCATGTTCTTGATTTTCCCTTCTAGATTTCGATCTGCCACGATTTGAATTCTTTCTGAAATTCTCCTTCTGGACTCTGTGTGCAAGGCTGAGGAGCTTGATGCTTCACCCGATTGTCTCTGTCGAATTTCTTCACTTAATACCAGATCCCGAACATCGTCGAATTTCAATTTGTTGTATCCCGACGAGCTGCTGACTGTTGTAACAGTATTCCAACTATCTGATAGAGATGATAAGAGAATTAAAGCTCGAACTTCATCATCGAATTCAATTTTCATGGAACTCAACTGTATAATATCTTTCTCCATCAAGTTGCCCTATAGAAATCAAATTTCTTTTGAGGCCAAGAATATGTCTCACTCCTTTCAGCTTTCAGGTGGTCTGGTTTAGCATATTTAATCGGATGTATCTTTTTCCGACGATTTTTAAGGTTTCATCATCAGTTAGATGAACCTTTCCAAAATCACCACTAACATAGTTCTCTATGATTTCTTGGCATGGGGTGGAGTGGAAAGATGTCCCTGAATCCAAGATCCATGATTCAATCAGACTGTTGACGCTTAGAATTATGGCATCACCTGTCTCATTTGTCATGTTGGTAGATTTCTGTACACTAGTATCTTTCTTCGGTGCTCGACAATCTCTTTTAAAGTGACCCTTCTTGTCTCAATTATAACAGTTGAAATCTTTCTTTCATGTTCTTGATTTTTCCCTTCTAGATTTCGATCTGCCACGATTTGAATCCTTTCTGAAGTTCTCCCTCTGGACTCTGTTTGCAAGGCTGAGGAGCTTGATGCTTCACCCGATTCTCTCCGTCGAATTTCTTCACTTAATACCAGATCCCGAACATCGTCGAATTTCAATTTGCTGTATCCCGACCAGCTGCTGACTGCTGTAACAGTAACATTCCAACTATCTGGTAGAGATGATAAGAGAATTAAAGCTCGAACTTCATCATCGAATTCAATTTCCATGGAACTCAACTGGGTTGTGATTGTGTTGAGTTCATTTAGGTGTTGAGTCACTGATGAGAGAGGTTGATGTAGATTTTTCTGTTACAGAAAATCTTCAATCTGCATTTTCCAAAAGCCAAAGTCCGCACTATCGAACTTCTCAATTTTCACATTCCCTTCATCTGCAGCCATCGCTTCCACTCGAATCTGGTTTCGTTTGGATCGTTTCTGACAATTTCTGCGAACCATCGTGTATTAGAACACCTTCGTCAACAAATTCGTATTGCTGATAAATTTTTTTACTATTACGTGCATAGTAATGAATAGTAACCTCGCAGAAAAATCGACAAAATTCACTACCAAAAGCTCTGATGCCAGTTGTTGGGAAATAACCAAGTAATTTTCTTATAACCATATTAGTGAGAATGCGAAATAAAAGCGGAAAAATAATACCCGAAATTGATGACGGAGTTCAGTCAATTATGCTTACGTCTCCGAACTACTGTAGATCTTTTACTAAAAAAAGAAAATTTTACAAGTGTTTACATAACACTCACAACTCACAAGAAAGTTCTCTAAATTCTTTAGTAGTGGGAGAAAGAAATGATTTAGGTTGATTTTGAAGCTATATGAGACAGTGTATTTATAGTTGAAGCTTAGGGACTAATCTTATAAATATCTTAAAGTGTGCAGAGACTAAAATATAATTAACCCTATTACATTTTTAATAAAAAATTGGGGCACTGAATTGTTGAAAAACTGCTCCCCTTTGTTGAAAAAACTAAGCCCCCATTGTTGACTTTTCCTCCAACACCGATGGTATTGCATTACTTGAACTACTCTTAAAATTTAGTCCAGTGTTGGTCAAATTGTGTGTTTATGATATCTTATGTGCATATATGCAAATTGCAATGTGATTTGGCTGATAGCATTCATATGGTTTTGCTTTTTCATTATAGTAATGAGCTTTTATTCTCGAACTACTTCACCCTCATAATGGGGAAAAATGTCTTATAGGGTACCGGTAGATCCACTTGAGTGGCAGATCTCAAAGGATGCCGCTAATAGCATATTTGCGTGGTTAGCTAATACTGTTGGGGCAGCTGAGTCAGTTCAAGGGTCGCAGCAATGGACATGAAAAAAGGCTGTTTTTTGGGGTGAACTTTTGCAACTTAAATTTATATTCACTATAAAATCAGCTACTTCTTGCTCCCTAGATCCTAATTCTTCTGCTTTAGTTGATATCTTGTGAATATCCATCTCAAATGACCTGATGCTTCTAACCTCCGAGATAACCCACCCTTCTCTTAGCAACCCGCCAACTGTTTTTCTTGTTGGTTTAATTGCTCTTTGCTTTGATGCCTTTTTGAAAATCATTATGTTAACACTGTACTGCAGTTATCTTGGAGAATTATTTTTTTCTTGCGTAATTATTAATCCAATGCATGTCTACTTTCAGGTCATAGTTTGTCTTTACATACCGTCAACCATTGGACGATTGGTTTCTGGTGCCACAGTTGCTTATGCAGGTATGTTTGCCACTGACTTCCCATTTTCTGTTGCTGAAATCAAGTGCAACTTCAATTTTTTGAAGCTAAAACATGACAGATAATTGAAATGGTTACTGTTGAATGAACCACACTCTATTTGTCTTGAGATTCTGTCAAGTTTTTTTTTTGCTCATTCAAGCACTATGAATTGATTTTATGCATTCGGAAATTTCACATTTCTACTTTGGAGCAATCACCGTATTAGCAATAATATTTAAATGCCATTGACAATCAATTCCCCATGACAGGATTCGGGAATGTGGCAAAAATATGTAAAAAGTGATTTGTTGTTTGACACAAATAATACTTTTTATGTATAAAATTTTCACAACCAGAAAATTAACATGTTTGATAGTTTTTTGATAATAATTCTCTCTTCCCCCCTCAATTCGGTATCTTTCTGTGATTTATGGAAAATAAAATCGTGTTTCTAAAATAGGATTATGCGTGTTCTGCCTTTACATGCTTGCTGAAAACTCACAGTCAATCAGAACATGCATTCCTCAGTTACAACGGCAAAGAAACGGCACCGCTGTCGAATACGATAATATGTAATTGCAAGTGCTGTTTGAACACACAGGAAAGCAAGTTGAAGCTTTTGAACTATATTAGATTAGATCGAGCCTTGCCATATCCTCACTATACTTTAGCTGAGTTGTAATATGTATTACTGATTTTTAGTGCCGTACAGTCGTCAATAAAATTTTTAATTCATTTGTAACATGTATACATTCGAGAATGTAATACAAACTTTTTGGTTTTGCTTGTTTCACCACATTTGTAGCAGTAATGGCTTCTGCAAGTCCGATGTCAATATATCAATGAGAAGGACAAACCTGAGAATAGCAGTTACTCTATTATCGAACAGTTATGGCACGGATCCTTTTTGTTTCAGATTTTGGACTTACCATGGTGATATGGTTACATTAACATATCTCAACTCAAACAAGAGATTGGCAAATATAGAGAGACCAAATGGTCAAAATTTCATGTGATACATTAGGAATTTGTCGATACATGTCGATATTTAATATGGCCCCAAAATTGACGCTCACCTGATAATATAGAACAAAATTAGAAAAAAATAATGTAGAAATTGCTAGGGTTATTCATATACATATGGGAGCTGATACTGTTAAATATCATCAGCCAGAGCTTCCCTAAACAACCCTGAATAACACAGCATCCTCTTGCACTTTCAAGAGAGGAGCTTCAACTAGTTAGCTTAGCAATGAAAAGTGTTTTTTCTTTTTCTACAGCCATCATACTATGCGTCTATCAGCAAGCAATATGTCTTTCCAAGCTTCATAAAACATCCAGGTGATACCAGAGGAGGGCATTACTTTTAGAGAGCTAGCACCCCACCCTCTGTAAAGGCCCTTTAAGCCCTCATCCTGGACTATTTCAGCTAGTGCTGCTACCATGTTTGGTGGACACTTACCCTGCAAAGCTCCGACCATTAGCCGTTTTCTGGCAACTTCCAAGGGAAAGCTGATGGTGCTAGCAGTAAAACCTGGTGATTTCAATTGAACCAGCTTAGCTGTTAAGCAGTGATACATTAATAGTCAAAATAACAAACAAACAAGTATCATCAATGAATGCCAGGAAAACCCCATAAATATTTTCAAACAAACTGCACAGGCCAAGTCTCACCTGCAAGAGCTCCAAGTACAAGCATCTCTGGATGATTTAGAGAATTTTTCTTCTTTGATTGGCAGTAGGATTTCTTTAATTTATCATACATGAAATAGTAACAAGAACTATATGGAAGCATGCCAATTAGCGTTGGAGAGAGACCAGCATAAAGGGCACCAACTCCACCATCCTTGTAAATTTTGCAGATTGCAATTCTTAAACTGGGGTATATCTCAGGACTGACAGTCAGCCTATCCTGCAAGTATTACAAGGGGAACATTCAGCTCCATAGGCAAAAGCATAAAATGAGACAACTCTAACAATTTCAACATAACCAGATTCAGATTTATTATTTTCCCAAGTGTCTAAACAACATAAAGATAGGTTCTTCAACTAATTTACCCACTGCTCAGACAAGGGAGATACCAAGAGGTCTCTGAAGCATTAATTAAAATGATGAGTTGGATGACATCATTATACGGCCCCATACTCTTTAGTCGCACTTCATCTGTAACTATTATTGAAAACCAAAATCTAAAAGAAATAATTCATCATGATACGGAATGTTCTGCTTTTTTTCCCCTTTTATTCAAAAAACAAAAATAAAGAAGAAAGATAATCAAGTCATGATATGTCAGATACCTTGATAACTTCAAGAGGATGGCATGCAAGTGTGCTAACAATTCCAGCAGCTGCACCAGCCACAGCAGTTGGTGAAATCCAGGAAAGAGAAAAGTTGACATTAAAACGACCAATTTGCAATTTTGGGTTGTCAATCTCATTCCATTTCTCCTGTGCTGATGTCATTGTGCGCTTGACACATTCAAATGTTGCAAGCTCAATTGCTTGGGTGGGAATTATTCTAACCATGTTGATTCCATTTGCAGCCCACAGTCCATGCCAACCTTGCTGCTCAATGATCTCCATGAAACTACCGGTTATGTTTTTGGATCCAACCCAACCACCATTCTGGTCCTGCATGTCAGAACTCATAATTATAAGTTGAACAAATACATTGGTGACAAACACATAATAATGATTTTAAGGCCAAAAGGATCATTAATAAGGTAACAATGATGAAAACAAACTGTTATAAGACTTCAAGAATGACTTGATATCCAAAACTTTTCAGGTCAACAAATTATTATACCCTAGAAACAAAACTAACAATACACACATCCAATCCTATAAAAGACTAAGAACCTTGAAACCCAGCGGAGGAATAAGTGGACAACACTGCAGTATTAGGAAAGAAAAAAAGGCATTCACAAGAATCATCATAATAAGTACCAAACATTCAAAGTGTTGATAAAAGTTTGCCACCCCAACTTATCCATTGTAAATTTCCTATAACCCATGTCATAGAAAAATATGGAAAACGGAAATTAAATTCAAAACCATGCTTAAAATTATGATCAAAATGGAAAGAAATTCAATTTTTTCTATTTAAAATCCAAAACCATTCAGCGAAAATCGTACACCTCTATTCGAGCTTTTCTAGGTAAGTTTCCATACCATTCTACAGATTTAAGGTTTATTAATAAATAATTACACTTACCAAACACCTGGATAAAGAAACAAAAATATTAGATATACTGGTAAAGACAACTACTCAGCAAATTAATAAATCAAAACATATATAACACAACGTGTCTGCCAACCTGATAGTTTCTAAAGGAGCGAGAACAGCTTTGGTCATAGCCCCGGCTAAAGCTCCACTAAGAAACTCACCAACTTCTCTTGTCCTCAAGAATTCCTGAATCACAATCAGAGCATGCATTTGTGATATCAACAACAATCTATTGGGCCTTATACATAAAATCAAAAGGATCCTAAAATTCACCAAAGCATTTTATGTCATTATAGAGAATAGGATCATAAATATCCATGAAATTGACAAAATCCAACAATAATTTTCTTTCATTTGGAATAATATATCTCTGATGTCCATGAAATTTTTGAGACCACAACAGAAAATGCAATTTTACAGAAAGTCGCAATGAAATATAGCCAAAATAAACAATTTTCATAAGAGGGTGATTTCTTTTATATATTTTATTCAGTGTGATTTTTTTTTTGTTATAACTTTTCCCATCGCTTTTAGCAGCCACAAATTTTAACAAAGCAAATAGAAAGCAATTTGACGCAGAAAAGCATCAGCTTTTGCCTTAAAAAAAGAGATTCCAGAGAATGTCCTTGCTTTTTAAAATTTTACACTTCCCATTTTCTCAGCATCCAAACAGCACCTTAGGAGCAACAACATTATAAAAAAGGAGGAAAAGGAAAGAGGAAAAGAAGCTCACTCTAATGGGAACTCTCAAATCGGGGACTTGAAATCTGATCTCAAAAGGCTTTGGAGAAGGCAAAGGAAAAGGCTTTTCGAGTTCGTCAAGCTCCTTCGGAACAACCAACGCCATGTTTCCAAACACCTTGTAACTGTTCTTCTGCAATTCAAAATCCAGATTTCAACACTATCACTACCTTTTCACTGTAATATATATAATTCCCAAATTTCAGATTTCTCAACTCATTAGAAACATATATTAAAGGAAAACGTTCCGAGCAAACATGCAAAGAAAGATGTCTTAATTTTCTCATCCTTTGTGAATAATAATTATTACAAAGATTAGAGGGAAAAGAGGGCGAAATTGACGTGCCTGAGGTAGAGAAGGCGATTTTTTGGGCATTAGATATTTTCTCTTCCCTTTTGCTCGGGTCTTGGACAGAGAAAGGAAGGGAACTTGGTTTTGTCTTTGGGTTTTCTGGAGGGATATTGTTTCTTTTATTTTTGTTTTTAGGTTTTTTGTCCTTTGTCGTCAAATTAACACAATTGGTAACTCCGAAATGGATATCATTATATATCCTCTGTAAATACCATATAAAAACAGTAATTACATGAGTTATTAAAATTAATATACATATATATATATATATATATATATATATATATATATATATATATATGTACTAGCAAATGTTAAAGGGAATTAATTACCTAAATAAAATTAAAAAGGACAACAATATAAAAAGGTAAGCCAACCTATTTATTCTATATATTTCTTTTATAGTCTCATCTCATAAATTTATTTTATAGATAGATTCATTGAATGATATTAGTGATAAGAGAAAATATTACTATTTTAAAAACTCTCGAGCACGAACAATTATATCTACAAAATATGTGTTAGGATTGATGAAACTCAAAAAGACAACAGAAAATGTGCCTAGAAGGGGTGAAAAGGCTTTTTAAGGTTTATAGAGTAAGGAGAATATAGATAAGGAAATTTACACAACGATTTATAGTAATTCGACTTATCAACGAAGTATACATCCACTATCTATGCTCATCACTTAGGATTTTCCAACAAATTCACTAATTTGTTCTCTTTTTTTCCAATGATCAAGAGTAACGTTTACAACTTCCTATCTTTTCAATTGGCTAAGATAGAACCAAAACCCCTTTTACCAAATGAAAAAGATGTAAACAAGAAAACCTCTCTAAGATAAGTGTTTACAAATATTAGGCTCATAGAAACACAACTATTTACAAGAGAAAAAAATAAAGAGTGAAAAATGTTTCTCTTGTGTTTGAATGCTTGGATAGGTGTTGATTACCTTTTTCAAGTGTCTTGAACTTGTATTTAT